TCTTTCCCTCCGACTATCTTTGGTCTAATCTGGCTATTTACGGGCCAGGCATTCCATTTCTCTACCATGAGATTGGAGCCCACCCCCTACCTATTCCAGATTAGACAGGGAAACATGGTCTGTCCTTGTAACCAACCCCTCCATACTACATGCTATTCTTCACATAATTTTTAAAAATTGAGATATAATTAACACAGCACAAAACCCACCATTCAAAGTGTATAATTGAGTAGTTTTTAGTACATTCAGAGTTGTCCACCCACCACCACTAACTTTAGAACATTTTGGCACCTCAAAAAGAAACCCCCTACACTCCCCCAAGCCCCTGGCAACCCACAAATCTTCTCCCTATGGATCTTCCCACCCTGGATGTTTCATATAAATGGAACCATAACATATGCGGTCTTTGTGACTTAGCTCACGTAGTGGGTTTAAGATTCATTCACGTATCAGCAGTTCATTGCTTTCTATGGTCAAATAATACAGAATTGTAGGTACGCGCCATATTTAGTTTTCTACTCATCACTTGATGGGCATTTGGGTTACTCCTTCTTTATGGCTATTAGACATAGTGGTATGTCCTACCAAGGGTGCTCTCAATACACCTTTACAAGTTTCGGTTTGTCTGGGTTTTTTGGTAACACAGATTTGTTGCTACAGGGTGTGGGAGCCTGTCAGAGAGACAGAGACAGAAAGTGAGAAATCACTCCCAAGGGGATGGCCACATTGCAATCTCTTCTCCTCTTGGGATTTTGGGCACGTACACACATGCTCCCAGCATGAGTTTTAAACTGCCAGGTCTGGGACTTGAACTACGGTCAACTACGTGGGAGTCCAATGACATAACCATTATGCTATCTGCTGGTCCCATATTTACAAGTTTTTATGCGAACGTGTGTTTTCAGTTGTCTTGGGACATATACTTAGGAATGGGCTTGATGGTCAGGCACTAACCCTACCTTAACGTTGGGATAAACCTCCAAGTTACTTCCCAAAGCACGGTACCATTCCACATTTCCATCAGCAACATATGAGAATTTACAACTGAGTGTCCCTAACCTGAAGATTCAAAATCCAAAATGCTCCAGAATCGGAAGTGTTTGGAGCATCAACATGACACACACGGAGAATCCCACAGGTGCCGGGTCGCAGTCAAACACTGCCATACAAAATACCATGATGGGACAGCGATGCAGCCGGACCCACAGAAAAAGTCCTGGGTGTGCCCCAGAGCCTCCCTGGGCAAGCCAGCATCCACCTGTGCTCTGGGCGGGGCTGGGGTGGAGCATGTCACCAGGACCTGTTGCAGGTGCCCGTTTCTCTGCCTCTCTCAAAAGAAATGTAACTTTTTTCTTTTTTTTTTTTTTTTGGAGGGGTTTTTGCTATAGGGCACATGCACTCGCCAGACAGACAGAGAGACAGAGAGACAAAAAGAGAGAAATCACCCCCCCCCCATGGGGGATGGCCACGCCGCAATCCCTTCTCCTCCATTCTCCTCTTGGGATCTTGGGCACACACGCACACGCGCCCAGCCTGAGTTTAAGCCACGGGGTCTAGGACTCTTAACAGCGGTCGACTACGTGGGAGTCCAGCGACATAGCCATTACGCTAAATACTGGTCCCAGAAATGTAACTTTTTTTAAGAGAGATTTTTGCTACAGGGCACATGAGCTCACCAGATAGAAAAATCATCCCCCATGGCCATGCCAAAATCCCATCTCCTCCACACTCTTCTGGGGACTTTGGGCACACACGTGCACAGGCACACACGTGCGCACACACATGCACATGCGCACACATGCACATGCACCTGGCGTGAGTTTTAAGCTACTGGATCTGGCTAGAACCACAGTCGACTACCTGGGAGTCCAGCAATATAACCATTATGCCATCTGCTGGTCCTAAATAAACTTTCGTGTTTATTTTTAAAAGAATTATTTTATTATTATCATTATTTTAATTTGACCGGAGAGAGATAGAAAGACAGCGAGAAGGAAAGTGAGAACACAAGCCACCAAGTCCAGGACTTGAACCACGGTAGGCCATGTGGGATTCCAGCGCCTAAATCACCACACCACCTGCTGGCCCCCTAAATAAACTTTTAAAAAAAGTATAAAATTACCTTCCGGGAGTGTATAATGCATTTGAAACATACATGAATTCCGTATTTAGACTTGGGCCTGGTCCCAGGGTATCTCCTTACATGTATGCAAGTTCTCCTAACCCTGAAACACTTGTCTTCCCAAGCGTTTTGGGTAAAGGATACTCAACCTGTACGGTATTTTCAGCAAATGAGGAAGTTGTGATTCTTGAAAGAAAACAGAGGTGTGCCAGCACCACAATAACGCAGTCACAAAACAGACCCCGCTTCCAGCAGGAGGTACAGGAGAGTAGCACAGTAAGGACCCACGTGCACGTGCACGAGCCTCGGCTCCGAATCCGAAATCCGGGGTGCTGTAATGACACTTACCCTGCCGTCGCCGTGAAGATGCAATGAAACGTGAAGGTGTACAGAGCTTGACAAGGGTCACCGGTAACTCAACCCGGGCCAAGTACGGGGCAAAGGGCTAAATGCCCAGACCGGCCCCATCACCCAGGCTCCTTCCCTGGGGGCCGCCGAGGG